TGGTAGGGGGAATCCTTGGGGATCCTGAGGACAGAATTCAAGGAGTCTGTGAATTCGAATAGGAAAAGTCCGCCCTTCACTCCCCATATTGCCACACAAATCGGGCATTTTCTGCTGTTATGAAGGGAGGCGCCAAACGGCAGCTGTCCAGACAGAACCGGTATCGCTCATCACCAACAGAGGTTACGTAGTTTACAGATACTGCACAAACTCTTTTAAGCTTAACAACTATGATAAAATGACAGGAGTGATCCGACCTGTCACCAGGTCCTGTGGGCAATGTGTTATAAACTCTAACACTACATTACAAATCTGCTTTTAAACATTCTGAGCCTTGGCTGGATGGGTCTGTTGGTTGGAGCATCACCCCATACACCAAAAGGTCGCAGGTTTGATTCCTGGTCAGGGCACGCACCTGGATTGTGGGTTTGATCCCTGTTTGGGGCGGGAACGGGAAAGTATTGATGTTTCTCTCTCTCTCTCTCCCCCCCTACCTCCTCTCTCAAAAATCGATAAACATATCCTTGAGTGAGAATTAAAATCAATTCCCCTCATTTATCATTATATGGTGAGCATTTCCCCACATCCTTAAATACTCTCCAGACAGATGATTTTTAATGACATGCTATTTTATCTTATAGAGAGACCATAATGGTAACTAGTTGCTTCCAGTTGTGTTCTCTGTTTATAAATAATGCTGGGGTGCACATCTTGATGTAAATTTTCAACTGCACTGCTGATTAGTTGGGTTAGGCTTTTTTCCAAAAAGCACTTTAACTAGGAAGCCAAGTGAGAAATAAGAGACAAATAAAAAATGGGAAAACCTGGAATGGGCCTGAATATGCCGTGTAGGTGGGCTGCTGCTGTTCCCTCTACCGAGAATGCTCTTTCCCAAATACCTGCCTACCTCCCTCCTTCTTTGTAAAATATCACCTCTTTCAAGGAGTCTTCCATGATTTCCTGGCTTAGACTAGCCCCCATCACTGCATCACTTGTCCTCTTGGCTGCTTTTGTCTCCAAAGGGTATGTCACCACGTCCCATATCATGCATTTGTTTATCATCTCCCACTTGCGGAGTAGTTTACTGTTTATCATGTTTATTGTTCATGTCTGTCTTCCCTACCACGTGGGATTTTTTTTTGGTGTGTCATCTTCATTGCAGTGTCTCCAGTCAACTGTTTCCTGACACAGAGTAGGTCCTCAATAAATAATTACAGAACACACAAATGGATTTCAATGACATTGGGAAAATACACGAGATGTTGGAATTGTAAGGCGCCACCCACCCAGGAGAGCAGCATCCATTTGGCATCTGAGCCTGTGGATTCTAAGATGCTCGGAGCAGGTGTGTCTAGACTCTTCCCCCATGGAGAGAGGTGTTGGAATGTGCCAGTGGCTGGCAAGGCCATGTCCATGCCCTCGGCTCTGCAGATCCTGGGCCTGCCTGTGGCCGGAGGGAGCAAGGAGTGACCGGGTGTAGGCCTGGGCAGGGCTGGCAGATGGCAGAGCACAAGGGCAGGGCCCAGGTGAGTCCAGGAAAGCAACAGCTCTGCCCTTGCCAACGGAAACTCAAAGAGGGCCAGCTGAGCCCCCGCCCTTGGCAATGAGAGGAGCCGGTGGTTGTGCTGGGTAGGGGAGTTGTCTTAATTTGGGCAGCCCCAGGCAAAGGCTCAAGTACAAGAGGTTTATTTGGGAGGTGTTATGAATTGAATTGTGTCCCCTCCCTAAAGGTATATTGAAGACCTACCCTCTAGGACCTCACAATGTGACCTTATTTGGAAATGAGGTCAATGCAGATATAATTACTTAAAATGAAGTCATATTGGATTAGAGTGGGCCTTAGTCCAAGATGACCAGTGTCTTTATAAGAAGACAGCCACGTGAAGGTGGGGTATTGGAGTAGAGGGCAGAGAACCTAAAAGCCTGGAATTGTTGGCAGCCACCAGAAGCTGAAAGAGTCAGGAAGGCTCCTCCCCTCGAGCCTTTAGAGGGAACGCGGCCCAGCTGACACCTTGATATCGAACTTCCGGCCTCCAGACTGTGAGACAATAAATGTGTGTTGTTTTAAGCCACCCAATTTATGGTATTTTATAACTGCTCTAGGCTTACATCAGACTGAAATCACGGCTTGGGCTTCTACCCAAAGGACGACAGTGGGATATAAGTGTGTAGAAGCTTCTAAATGGCGACTCAGAGTTCGAGGCAGCTGCCAGCAGGGAGAGGACTGGAAAGAAGAGGGACACGTGGCTCAGACCACGTCCTCAGGTGCTGCTGGAGTTTCTGTGATTAAACATTCACACATATGTCTAACAGGAGCACTTTGGGGTGGAGAATTTGGCCTACCCATAGTGGCCCAGTACCAGGTACTGTTCTAAATGCCTCCCACATATCCATCTTACTCAGTCCTCTGGCCCTGTGAGAGGGGACTGTGCTTCTGGTCATTTTGCAAAGTGGAAATGGAGACACAGAGAGGCCAACAGACTTGCTCAAGGTTGCACAGCAAGAAAGTGGTGGAGCTGGGACGGGAACCCAGGCAGCCTGGTGTCTGACTGTGCTCTCCACCACTCCCTCTGAGCTTGTTTCCCCTGAAGCAGCTCAGCTCTGGGCTTCTAGGACAAAGATCCCCTCAAATAATGGTGTAGAATCTTCTGGAAATTCGTGGTTTTGCTCACATTTCCTCTCTCACCATTGAGCCTACCCCCAGTGTCTTCCTCTGAAACTCTGGACCCTTTCTCTGGACACCCAATCCAGTGCGTGACACAATTTTCACGTTCACAGTTTTCTCAGCTCCTGCCTCCCACTCCCACCCTGCTCTCCCTAGTCCGTCAGTCACCTCCCAGTTCTTCCACTCCCAGGAGCGTTCCTTGCCCCCCCCGAAGCTCTCTCTCACACCAGCCTTGCTAAGTAAAAGCCCAGAACCTAAAATGATCCCCTGGGAAACTTTGGCCAATTTTTAAAAAAGGTTTTATCTATTTATTTTTACAGAGGGGGAAGGGGGGAGAAAGAGAGGGAGAGAAACATCGATTGGTTGCCTCTCATATGGGCCCTGACCAGGGATTGAACCCACAACCCAGGCGTGTGCCCTGACTAGGAATTGACCTGGTTTTGAGAGACGATGCCCAGCCAATTGAGCCACACTGGTCAGGACGCTTTGGCCAATTTTTGCCCAAGCTGTTTGCAGGTGAAGCTCAAGAGACAGCCCAAGCATTTAGCAGGTCTGCTCCCTGTTCCTAGAGACACTATGCTCGGACAAGGGCTTCATGAAATTAAAACACCAAGTCCCTTCCCCACATCCTTTATGTTTGTCAACAAGTTATCATAACAATGGCAGAAATCTATGTTGTGTGTGGTATGAACGGCATTCCTGAAATGTGGTGACTTGTGCAGTGTGTGACATGTACAACTGCCCGTGGTGGCTCTTTTTGCTGTCCACCCCCAAGTGGCACTCTCGACCCCACCCTAAAATGACCCACTAATTAACAGGATAGGTTCCCTCTGCTCCCAGTGGGGAAATTCCTAAGGAGCACACACCGTGACTGGGAGGGGAGCTGGGCTCCTCTGCGTGCAGGGGGGAGTCTGGTGCTGCTCCTCAGTGGGCCAAGCCCTGGCAGAGCCTTGCCCAGCAATTTCAGTACTTGTGTGGGGCAGCCCCGGGTGGGCGGCAGGCGACAGGGTGGAGGGGGCGCAGGCAGGGCCGTACATCTTTTCAGACCTATCCGTACCATTTTCAAGACTGAGGACAAGTGTAATGACAAGAGGCCCACATACTGTGCGTAAATATTTAAAAGCCACTAAATAAAATATGCTGGACGCTTGTCCTTTACAGACATACCTTCATAAGCACTGGGACGGTCAGGGTAAAGGTCAGAACCTGGGCACCTGGACTAGATCACGGTGTGGCAGGAGCCAGCCCTGCGCCACGACCACGGCCTGCCGCCTTCTCTTCCCATGCCCGCTTCTGTCCTGCCTGGAGCTCGGGATGTGCAGAAAATCCCGTCTGCACGTCCGAGCTCCAGCCCCAGCCCCATTTGTGCCAACAGCCACCCTCAGGACACTCTTGGCTCCTGGAGGGTACAAATGGGAGGTCCAGTTGGAGAACAGATGGAAAAATCTAATGCAAGTCCACGGAATCTGGGCTCGGACAGAGAATTCCAGAATCCTGGCTAACTCAGGATGCGGTCTCGAGAGTATGGAGGTGACAGTGGCACTCGGCAGACATGTCCTCCTGCCCCACGGACAACTCACACCACGGGGAGGGTCATGGCTGGAGGAGGTCCGTGAGTCGCAGTGCAGAGCTCCCTTGCATAGGTCCGAGGACACTACTTTTACCCACGTTGGGTTTTGAATCTTACAAGCTTTATGTACAGGCAGACCTCGGAGACACTGCAGTTGGGTTCCAGGCCACCACGATAAAGCGCGTATCGCAATAAAGTGAGTTACACAAATGTTTGGTTTCCCAGGGTGCGTAAAAGTTACACTGACAAGATACTGTGGTCTCTTAAATACAATAGCATGATGTCTAAAAAAACATAATGTACATAAGTTCATTAAAAATACTTTGTGGCTAAAAAATGCGAACGAGCATCTGAGCCTGTTGGAAAAATGGCACCAAGAGCCTTGCATTTCAAGGCAGGGTTGGCACAAACTTTCAACTTGTAAAAAAAACCCCCAAATGTCTGTGAAGCACAATGGGCAAAGTGCAATAAAAGCAAGGGATGCCTGTATTTAAAAACCTAACATTATATTTAAACACCTGCACAGTGACAAGTTAGTCAACATCTGTGTGCCCTCTGGATTTCTACGTCCCGAGGGGTCTTCCCTACTTAAACAGTTCTGAGGATGCCCACTCCCCATCCTCCGAGGCCCAAGCTTCAGGCCTGCTCTTCTGGGGCCACGCTGAGTTGTCCCCAGGATGCCCCCTGGCTCAGGGCCCCTCCACTGCAGCCTCAGGAGTTGGCTGGCCCCGGAGGGCCACGTCCCTGCGAGCGCCCCTCACTTACGTTGTAGAGGAGGTCAGTCCACCCTTCCATGGTGATGCACTGGAAAACAGTCAGCACTGCAAACAGGATGTTGTCGAACTGAGTGATCCCATTGTTGGGCCCTTCCCAGTAGGGCTGGCATTTGGTCCCATTGGGGCAGGTGCGGGCGGGTTCCTCTGTCCCACATGGAGCCGGAGACTCACCCTGAATGTCATCTGTGGAAGAGGAGGGGAGAGGAGTCAGGAAGAAGGAGCTGGGAAAAACAGCTCTGAGAAATAGGGGCCTAAGAAGATTTTTCAGTATTGGCTGTTGGAGAAAAAAAAAAAAAAAAAGCTATTGGGATGAATTTATCAATTTTTTAAAAAACAAAAAACAACCAACCCAACATTTCCCTTTGTTGACCTATTCATTGTTTTCTATTTCATTAATTTCTTCTCTAAGCTTTATTACTTTTCCTAAATTTTCAAGATGGATTAACTTCCTTCAAAGCTAGAAACTGCTCTCTAAGGGTGGCTTTAGCTGTACCTCACAAATTCTGCCATGCATTGTTATTGTTCAAGTAAAGTATTTGGCAATTTCCATTATTACTTCTTTGACCCACGGATAACCAGAAAGTATTTCTCTTAAAAAAAAAACTTGTCAGATATATACAAAATGGAATAGTATAATGAATTCGCACGTGTCTATTACTGATGTCAACATTCTTCAACGCAGGGCAACCCTGGTTTCATCTACATCCCCCGCCCCAACACTTTGCCACTGGAATATTTTTAAAGCAAATCTCAGACATCTTATTATTTCATCCTCAAATAAGCATACCTCTTAATTTCCAAACACATTTAGAGGGGTTTGTTACTGATTCCCAGCTTAATTGCATTGTGGTCATTCTGTAATATTCAGTCTTTTGAAGTCTGTCAAGATGTGTGTTACGGTTCCTAATATAGCCAATTTTGGGAAAGGCGCTGTGTGCATTGTGAGGTAGTTGGGTGCAGTATTCTCTAGACTCCATTAGGACAAATTTGTTCATTACACTGTGTTATTCTTGTGTAGCCTGATTTTTTTCCCCCTTGGGATGTGCTGGGCTCAGGGAGCTGTTCTGCGTGCAATGAGGGCCAGCGCACATAACACTTACCCTCACGCACAGGAGCTAAGCTTTCTCCCCCCAAAGCAGGAGGCAGATTGTGAAAATGCCACAAAACCAGAGGCAAGGGCACAGGATGCCCCTTTTGCTGGAAACCAAAGACAGCTTCTCAGCAAAGTTGGGTTGGGCGCTAACGGTCAGGTCTCACTTCCAAGGGGTTGATCGGGAGGGAGGAGAGATGGCTCCATGAACACACGGAGTCAGGGGAGCACACGTCATCCTGGGTATGTCCCCAGGGGACCAGAACAGCAGATAGGAGAGGACCCTATTCTGGGAGTGACACTTTTGAAGGTTTTCTGAGAGTGACATTATCCACCAAGAAAACAGACAGCTGAGTGTGTACACTCAAGCTTCCCACTAAATGAAAATATATCCCAATGTATGCGCTCCAGGCTTTGAGCACCAATTTGCAGCCTCCACTCGGAACACAGCAAAGAGAAATACAAGGGCACAGAGTGTGTGAATCTAATTGGCCTTTGAAGCTCGGTTAAACAGAAAGTCTAGATCACGCACAGCAATGCCCACTGCTCTCAGGGGGTCACCCACTTCTCAGGAACCAATGACCACGTTGGCCGCTAGTTTAAGTGGCTGGAAACGCCTTCCCCGCTCACGCTGGACTTGGTGCAGGGGCTATGATTTAATAAATACAGGCTGGAAGGCAAAATCTTTTAACCATCAGGCTCAGGGCAGGGGGGAAAAACATCAATGGCTCCCATATTAAAGGAGAACCACTGTCCGCTGGGAACCTTCCCTGTTCCTACCCTCTGCCCAGGTGCGGCTCAATTCCTACCTCCCGTGTGACCTCACTGAACACTTGTCCCTCCTTTTCCTTGAGGCTACTACAGTAGCTCTCGCATGTTCATAGTGTGGGGATAAGACCATGCGTTAGTTTTCATTGCCATCAACCAATGAGGACTCTTGTCCCCTTAAACCACTTCGGAAGCAGTTGGAAAGCAGCAGAATTCCACTTCATCTTGGAGTTTCTGGAGCATTTAGCACAGTGCTGGGCGCACACGAACTGGGTTCATGATGATGAGGAAAATGCAACGGAAAACTTGCCTATCTTCAGCAGCTTTGCCCAGCTGCGTTCTTGATTCCGATCCCTCCTCAACTCCCTGCCCCCCTGTCGTGAAATACTGAGTGCAGCTTCTAGAAAAGCAACTGTCCAGAGAGTCTGAGGAATTTGGTTATAAATATATTTTAAAATTAACCTGCTGCCTGGGTGTCTGTATATAACTGTCTCTTACTCACACGCCTTATAATTTTAATCGTGAGCTTTTCAGTCAGAAATGGAGGCTCTCCACCTGCTGGTGGCCCTGCCCACGTCTGTCCCCTCACAACCCCACTCAGACCCAAGCCTATTGTGTGTCTTCTGGGCTGGAAAGGTAAAAAAACAACCCAACAAAACCACCAAATCTAGGATCCTGGAGTCCTGGTTTCCCTGCTCCTGGCTGTTTTTCCGAGGGGCCCTGCCCTGTATCTCTCCTTCTCGAATTTCCGCCTGGTGACGAGGCCAGGCGCAGAAATAGCTCTGCCTCAATTAACACCTTCTTCATCGGGGAAAGAAATAATTAGGACATCCCATATTGAGTGAACTTCACAAGCCCAGGAGAGAAGGAGACAAGAGGAACAAGGGAAAAAAAAAAAGCATCTCAAATAAACCTTTCCTACGGGGGTTTCCTTTCCTCTGGGGGGGGAGTTTGGGGAGGGGCCTGAGCCACTTAGGGGTCACAGGACAGAGAAGTGGGGTGGGAAGCCGCTCCGGGACAGAATCTCTTCTCAACAAGACACGCCTAAAACCTCCTTCCTCTCCCACGTGGGCCCTCTTGCCCAGCCTTCAGTTCCCAGCGCCCTTGACCGTGACCAGCGCTGCCATTCAGCCTGCCTGCGTGAGACGGCCCGTGGTGCCAACAACGGAAGCACAGGCTTCCCTCCTTATTCGATTCCACTTGGTTCTTGGGCTACAGAGAGCGAAAGAGCTTGGAGAGCAGGGGATTTAACTGAAAATGTATCTGGAAGCCACCGGCCAGTGAGTGTGTGGAATGTGGGGGACGCCGTCTGCCACGCCGCTGACTCAGAGCTGAGCGCCGGGGCGAAGGGCCTCCTGCCTGCCCCCCACCCACACGTCTTGGGCCAGCTACTAGGGGACTGGCACCGGCACAGTGTGCAGAGGAGAGGGACCAGGACCTTGCCTGCACTGAGTTCTGCCTGGTGGGTGCCAGGACCCCCAGCTGGAGTGTCTTTGGGCACTTTCTGGGCGAGACCGGGAGAAGCTATCACCCACTGTCCTTTTCTTTAGGTCACCACCCACAAAAGCAATTAAACCCCCTCCTTCCTGGCCAGGGGGCCCCCTCCTCTTCTGGCTTTAGAACCCAGCATGGCTGCGGCCGCTGCAAAGTGACCAGGCAGAGGCACCGGACTCCCTGTCCATGTCCTGCCGTCACTTGCTCTGCCCACCCCCGCCTCAAAACACCTGTCACGCCCCCCCAGGAGCCCTCCTCATCAGTGACGGACAGCGGTCAGTGAATAACTACCCCGCTCCCTCGCCCCTCAGGGGGCCTGGCGCTGGGGTGTGCGTCCTGTGCTGTCTTCCTGAGGTGCCCAATGGGACCGAGCCCCGGCTGCCCGCAGGGGTAATCTGCTTGAGAAGCCTTCCCTCTATGAGAAGCCTTCACTTCCCCGTATGACCTCCTCACACCTCCGATGGCACTTCCTGGTACCTCTTCCCAAATAAATCACCTAGGCCTGGGACAGCTCCCGGGGGACCCCAACACAAGGCCCTAGCAACAGGACCTTGGGTGCTGCTACGCCCAGGCTCGCCTGCAGTGCATTTGGAAGCTTCCAGGAGAAGTAAGCCCACTGCGCCCTTCCAGGAGTTTGTCCCCAAGGCAGGAAAATAAGTGGGAGCAAGGTTGGGGAAAAAAAAAACACACATTAGGATGTTCGGACGTACCTGTCCCCTCTTCAAAGCAGGTGGTATGAAATTTTCCCATATAAAATTCTAACCCTATGATTGCAAAAATAAGGATTGCAAAAAACAGGAGGAGGCCAATCTGCAGCAGGGGGATCATCGCCTTCATGATCGACTTCAGGACGACTTGTAAACCTGGGGAGACAAAGAGAGGGGCCCCACGGCCGTGAGCGGTCACCCCCAAACCCTGCCCCCCCCACGCCTCCTGAGCGAACCCGGAGCACCCGGAGGCGGGGGATGGGGCAGTGGTGCAGGAAGGCGGAGGAAGGACACACAGAGGCTGGCCATTGTGACAGGAACAGCCTCTCTTCATTGGTAAGAGCACTTCTATTTCAAAATATTTTTTAAAGCATTTGACATATGTTGTGTCATTTGATGAACATCTGGGCTAAAAGGAGTGGAAATCCATTGCTTTCTGAACCGTGGTCCTGGGTGCTGGCTGGCTCTCACCCAGAGCAGGGCGCCTTTTGCTAATTTGTGCAAAGGCACCATGTAGGCAAGTTGCAACTCTGCACGGGCAAGCAGTCAAAATCCCCGTTCCAATCCAGGAAAACCAGACATAATTTCATTGGCTTCTAGCACAACCCCACCATGAGGTGGGCGCACATGTAACCTGATCCTCATCTTGCAGAGGTGGGAAGCAAGGCGCAGAGAGATGTCATGATTTGCTCAAGGACAAGGGAAATAACAGAGCCGGGATTCAAATCTAGCTCTGAGAGACGTCAGAGCCTACGTTTGTTACCACGGTGCTATATATTAGGAAAGTCTATGGTTAAAATTAGGGTTCCAACATATAACTTGGGGCTTGCTTCTGATTAGAACTCTGCTTGGCGCCTCCTGACAGGTGGAGACCCTAGCAGGAGAGGGAAACCGTCCACATGGACCAAGGGGTCCAACATGGAAGGCAATGCTGATGGAGATAGGGTCGCAGAGTGGTGAAGGATCCGGACACCGGATGTTATTGGTGCCTAAGCCAGACTCCTTCACTGTGGGTGTATCTGCCCTCCGGCTGCTGTGAGCATTGGCTGCTAATGGCTCCCAGCTCCTCTCTTCTCCATTGGGTTGCCCTTGGTTATCAGGAGCTGCCCCATCTCTCACCCCCAATAATTAACCAGAGAAGTACTAAAGGCCAGCCTCCTTGACTCAGGCTGGAGAATGGCTCTGGTGCTACTCACACTCCATTCTCTCATTCTTTCCCTCCTGACCCCCGCTCCCACCCCCCAACACTGAAGGAGGTGCATTTGAACACCTATTTAAGTCTGCTTCTAAGGGGCCAGACAGACCTAGTCATCTGCTTACTAGCAATGTGACCTTGGACAAGTCAAGCAGCCATTCTGAACCTTGGTTTCTTCAACTGTAAATGAGGGTTGCAATGGTACCTTCTTCTCACAATTAAATGAGAGTTCATACCTAGCAGAGTACCTGACGTGTGGGAGGTGGTCATTAAACAGACTCTTACTAGGATTAGCTTTGGGATCGCCCTTAATTTACTTTTTTAAAGATTTTATTTATTTATTTTTAGAGTGAGGGGAAGAGGGGAAGAGAAGGAGAGAAACATCAAAGTGTGCTTGCCTCTCGAGTGCCCCCTATTGGGGATCTGGTCTGCAACCCAGGCATGAAGCCTGACTGGGAATCGAACCGGCAACCCTTTGGTTCACAGGCTGGCACTCAAGGATGGCGTTTCATTTAAAATGATGCAGCCTCCTGCTGGAATCTTATAGACACCTGAGTAGAAGCGCCTTCTTTCTACAAAAGGACCCTGGTGGTGGTCTTCTGGAAAATCCTGCTCTTTAAATCTGGATAGCAATGAACCTGAAGTCTGAAGCCAATGATATGCAAAGTGGTGATGAAAACAGAATGCGCCTCACAGGCTTGTTATGAGGATAAATGAGTTTAAAAATGGCAAATACTTAGAATACTGCCTGGCACACCATAATCATCATCATCATCGTCGTCGTCATCATCGTCATCATATTTTCTATCCAATACAGTAGGATAGAAAAAGGCCGGATAGAAAAAGGCCAGCTCTGTGCTTTGTTTTGTTTTTGCAGCTGGACCTGATCCTGACCCTGAGCATAGCAGCCGCCCCCAAAGGCTGGAGCAGAAGCATCCCTGCAGAACGAGGAAGCCACGTGGAATGAGCACGGACTTTGGAGCTTGTCACTGAAAAGCTGTAAGCACTCAGGTGAGCAGTTCGGCCTTTCTGAGCCGCAGCCTTTTCATCTGTAAAATGGGTTCACTGGGGGATTACAAGAATGAACTAAGATAATGCACACAAAACTACTTCGGCAGTGTCTGGTACTACACAGGCACTCAACCAATGGTAACAGTTATCGACACCAGTGTTACTGCCCAGGCTTGGGGGCACACTTGCTAACTCCTAGTTCTGCCACATCTCAGCCCTGGCACCCTGATCAAATGATTCAGCTGCTCTAAGCCTCCGTTTCCCCACCTATAAAATGGAGATTTCAGCACTAGCAGCGTCATAGGGTTGCCTGTGAGTCCTGACTGAGGGGATGGGCAGTGCTTCGCATGGCTCCTGAGAGACACTCGGCGCTCAGTAAACGGGGGCTGTGGTCACGGATAAGCTTCCCGGCTCGCCTTCAGGAGCTCACCCAGACCCGAAGCCAGGTTCCGGAGGGTCCCCCGGGGAGCTTCCCCGAAGTGGAGCCTGCCTTGATATAGGCTAGGGCAGCACTCGGGGCCCCTCCTGAGAGGCTTGGCAGAGGGGAAACTGAAGACACCAGGGCCCCGAGCAGACCTCTTGCCAGGTTGGAAACTCACGCACTTGGGATTCCAGACACCAGCTTGAGCGGTCGCAGCACTCGAACTGCCCTCAGCGTCCGAAGGTCAAACTCTGTCCCAACTGTTGCCAAGATGCTGGAAGAAAGAAACCAGAATGGAAAACAGAGGGTGGGTTTCAGGGTCAGGGTCGGACAGATGGGCGGGGTGCTTGGAGTTTGATATTGTCTTTTATTGGCTGGGTGACCACGGGTAGGGAACGTTACATTGCTGGGACTGTTTCGTCACCTGTAAAACAGTGTTAACGTTACCTGCTTTATGGGGTAAGAGGGGATTTACAACGATCCCAAGCAGGTGGATGGTTGATGAAAATAAATGTTGGATTGGGAGGAATGGAAGATCCTCCAGGGCACACGGTCGGGGTGATGTTCAATACATTCCACAACCACAACCAGAATGGATTGTGGGGGAGAGTGGGAGGCCCTTCGGGACTTGGGGTTCTTTACCAACTGGCAGGAAAGTAGCTCAGTGTGATAGCCCAGACCACATGGGTTCATACCCCAGTTCTGCCACTTCCCAGCTGGGAAACCTTGGGCAAGTCACTTCCCTGTTCCATGCCTCAGTTTCCCCTTTTGTATAATGGGATAACAGCAGTACCCCAGAGTATAATACACCTCAACACTACACTTCAAACAACAGTATACAGCTCAAAGAGCTGTGAGGATTAAATGAACTGGTATTTGTGAAGCAGCTGGCACACAGCCTGGCACGCAGGAAGTGTGCTTAGCTGCTCATCAATGAACGGGAAAAGAAACAAGCCAACAAGAACCATCAGTGTGGCCCTGATGGTGTGGACCAGTTCGCATGGACCCTGAACCACTCTTGCAAATGCAGGTGAGATGAGCCTTCTGTAGAACTCCACCCCCACACCTGCAAGGACCGCAACTAAGACCTCATTTGTTAAGTGTTACTGGTGAGGCAAGGGCTCCCACAGCCCCTCCTCCTAAGGCACCGTGGGGAAACTCCCTGATGTGTTTCCCGAATGAGTCCATTCCAGAGGCAAGTAATGCAGAATGAGCTACCATGGAGCCACTCAACACATGAACTTGTCCTCACGGCCGTAGACAATGGACAGGGGTGCTGCACACCAGTGGAGGGCGGCCACGCAAGTATCTCGATGGTGTCGTCAGTCTTGTCCAGAGGTCTGGACCTTACCACACTGGTCTGTGACAAGTATCTGCATCTCTTTGTCTGAGGGCTTCCTCCAAAATCGAGACAGTCCCCTGTGGGAGCAGCCCACAGCCAAAGACTGCTGGGACTGGGTGGGTCAGTTCCCAAGCCCCCTCGCCCCTCATTCCAGGTTGCTCTCAGATGTGTTCCCAGAGGGACTGATCCCAGCCGCCCACCGAAACCGCCTGCTCAGCCGATCATCCTTTCTTGCTGCCCTTCCCCTCCCCGCAGAGACCTTTCCTGGGGTCACCTCCCAGATGAACTACTTGCACCTGAATCCTTGTGGCAGGGTGTATGCTGGGGCACCCCAAACTAAGACAGGGGTTGTTTCCAACTCTTTTCAAGACTACTCCTAGAGCAGAGATGGGCAATTTAGGTTGCACTGACCTATTTTTCCACCATTGACAAGTGTGCATCTGGGTATGTCCCATGTGCCAGGCAGAGCAACACATGAGACTCCCCCTGGCCCATGGAGCTGATGCAGAAGGAAACTGCTTAACAAAAAAATGCACACAATGAATGAATCCATCACAGGCATGAACGCATCCTTAGAGAGGGTGGAAGACAACAGCTCCGACGGTACACAGCAGGTCCTGTCAACTAGTCTGGGACCCAGGGAGGACCGGTCTCACGCTGAGGTCTCATGGATGAGGAGGAGGAATCTGGTCAGTGGGGGAAGAACTTTCCAGGCTGGGAATGGCTGAGACAGACAGTGCGGGCGGGAAGGAGCTTGGCAAATTCGAGGGATGCGAAGGTGCCACGGCAGGGATTTGGGAGGTGCCGTGAAGCTGGAGAACAGGATGGAGTCATGCCGCCCGACCCTAAAGAGCTCCTACTTCGATTTACTCTATTTTTCTATTCCTCCACCAACTTTCTCACATTCCTCTGGGTTCCTCCAACTCCATTTTGTAAGTCACCATCCTATTTATACATCTCCCTTCTTTCCTTCCCGGCGGATGGCTGGTTAGGATGTGCGTAGCAAACAGGCATCATCCGAGGGTTCATTTATTCCCTTCACAAACATTAACCGAGCACCTACAGTGTGTGGAGGCTGCCCAGGTCCCGGAGACGCGAGCCACAGGAACCCCTGTCCAGGGGGAGACTGAAAATAAGCCCAATAACTATGCTGAATGCAGGGGGGTGGGCACGAGGGAGAAAAGCAACGTGGGGACTGGGGAATGGAAACACCAGTGACACGGAGCGGGAGGAGGGCAGCGATGACGTTAACATCAGCGGGTGAAGGCAGCCGCTCTTGACCGTCTGGCAGGGAAGGGGTTCAGAGATAAGAACGCTCGGACCAGCACTGCCCAGCGGAACTTTAATCAGGGCTGCATGTTCAATTTATAATTTTCTAGCAGCCACGTTAAAAGAGTAAAAAGAAACAGGTGAAATTAATTTTAATAACATAGTTTCTTTAACCCAGTCTATCCAAAGTGTGATCATTTCAACAGGCAATCAATGTAAATGATTTATTAATGAGACATTTTATACATTATTTTCTTTGGATTAAGACTTTGAAATCTGGCGCATATTCTCCACTTACGTCTCAACGGAGATGCTTAATGACGGCGTAAGACCAGCGGCAAAGGGACCGGCCAGTGCAGGTCCAGGGAGAGAGACACTGAGGATGTGGAGACAGACAGGGGGTGAGCCACGTGAACATGTCAGAGGAAACTCTAGGTGAAGGGGTAGCCAGTGCAAAGGCCCTGAGGCAGAACTATGCCTGGTGTCTTTGAGGAACAGCGTGCAGGCCAGCTTGGCTAGAGCCTAGCAAGCCAAGTGACACTGGGAGGCCATGAGACTTTGCACGCCACGGGGAGGACTCTGGCTTTTTCTCTGAGTGAGACGGGAGCTAGGGAGGGTCCTGAGCAGACGACGGGCATGATATGACTTATATTAAAATTAGATCCCTCTGGGGACAAGGTCAGAAGCTGGAGACTGGGGAGGAAGCGACTGCGTTGTTCTCGGAGAGTGATAATGGGTCCAGACCAGGCTGTGCTAGACGCAGTGACAACACTGAGATGAACTCCACCCTGCCCTCAGACGATCGCGAAAGTAGGTGGAGGAAAGATGCAAGTGCAGGCCCTCTGGTCCCAGAGCTGGAGGAGGCTGCAATGAGGAGGAAATGAATACAGGTGGGAGGGCTGGGGACAGCAGCATTGCGAAGTCCAAGTCTGAGGAGGCAGCATGGCACCAAACTGCACAAAATCTCAGACCTGGGATTAAACCCTAGCCCTGTGTTTTCTCATGGCGCGGCCTTTGCCCAGACTTGCCTAAGCCTCGGGACGGCAGAGACTCCTACTTCCCTCCTGCCCACTGCCTTCCCAGCCAGCACCCAATATGTACTATCTCCTGATCTCCTCCCTGGAAAGGGGAGAAGGAACTGGAAAGAAAACGAGCAGCGGAGGGGGCTTGTCTGGCCCAGAGCGCCCTCGGAGGCAGGAGGCTTCAGTCAGGATATGTGGTGCATAAGAAATCGAGCGGGCTGCACGGCGGAGGCTGGAACGGGAGGCTGAGGAGGTGGGTCTTGCCGTGTGGACAGTGGGAGTCATGTAAGGTTGCGGAGCAGGGGAGGGATGTGATTGGGGTTGGCGTTCGGAAGACAAGCCTGACAGCTGAAAGGACAGATTGGTGGTGATGGAGGCAGAGCTCGGAGGGAGCCGCAGAGCAGGCCGGCGTCAGGAGGGCTGGAAGTAGGACAAAGGCAGTGGGAGTACAAAGGAGGCCCTGATTTATATTTAGCTGCCATTGATTGCTGTGCACCAGGGAGCTTGCCTGGGCTCGTCAAGTCCTTCCTGCATCCCAGTATTTAGCAGTTAGCAGGATGAGTCCCATTTTACAGAGGAGGACACTAAAGCCCAGAGACGTTGCAAACGCACGGAGACGTATGCCGCCGAGTAAGAACGTGAACCTAGGACACCAGCCCCCCAGAGCCCGGCTCCCCACCTCGCGTGGCTCCTTGGGTGGGGCGAGGGCGATGGCGGGGACGACAGAGAAGGGAAGAACGGCTTCCTGGTTCCGACAGAACCACCGAGCGACAGTCATTCATTTACTCAACAAGGGTTGAGTAGCACCGACGAGGGGCTGGGTACTCAGGTAGGGCCTGAGGACGCTGCCGTGAACAAAGTGACAATGGGAAAACATATGGTAGGTCAGGTGGTACGAAGTACTATGGAGAGCAACATGGCAGCCACCAGGGCTTTCGATGGACGGAGTGAGCGCGGGGCAGGAGAGAGAAGAATTCAGGGCGACTGCAGGGTTTGGGCCTGGTCTCTGTGAAGGAAGGCGCTGCTGTCAATTGAGATGGGAAGACAGAGGAAGGGACAAGTCTGGAGGAAGGTCAAGGGCTGGGCTGTGGACACACTGAGTTTGAGATGCCAGTTTTCTGTAACTCCTTCGTTAAAACCTATCCCTGGCTCCCATCAGGCTCAGGGTAAAATCCAAAGTCTACTGTGACCACACGGCTGTGCGTGACTTGGCTCCCGCAGGCGGTGGCCACTCTGACTTTCTGTTCTGCCAACAGGAAAAGCTTTTTCCTACCTTGGGAATCATACACTGGCTATTTCTTCTACTTCAAGTGCTTGCCCATCCCCTCAGCTCTCTCTCCCTTTTTGCCTGGATGGCTCTCTTCAAATCCTGCAGGCGGGAGCTCACCTTCTGTCCTCTAGAGAGGATTTCCCTGGTTCTTACGGCCAAAGAGACCCTTCACCCTCTGGAATTATGTTGTTCATGAAGTTGTGCTTATTATTCACCTTCTCTTCTAGAATGTCAGCTCCATGAGCACCGAGACCTTTAAAAAATTTTTTAAAGTACCTGAAACACTTGTCATGACCAAGCAGGTACACACTAAACAGCCAGTAAATGAGTGAGGCGTGGCGTAGGACAGGGTTATGGTAGACGAGGTATCC